CCAGACTGGAGTGCAGTGGCGCGATCACAACTCGCTGCAACCTGCAACTCCCCGCTCAAACGTTCCTTCTGCCTAAGTCCCCTGAGGACTCAAGGCCCGGCTACTTTTAAAAATTTTTTGTAGAAACAGGGTCTCACTATGTTGCGTCGATTTTTTTTTCTAGCTACTAGAATGAAGAAGATTTAGACTGATAGAGAGAAACTGGAAAGAGCATTACGCGCCCACCCCTAAATGAAGAAGCAAGCGATGTCGTTGAAGTGGGCGATGAAGATGGAGAGGGAGTTGGAAGCCAACAGTGGGAGATCTAGTTACAAGTCCTTTCTGAAGGCCCTAAGACCCTCTCTGAGACTCAAACCAAGCTTTAAAAATGTGGGGGCAAACTGCGCTTAAAACGTGTGCCTTTGCCCTGGAGAGGGCCTGGGGCTCCTCTCCATCCCCTCGCCTCTGCCGGCACCGGCCGGCCTTGCTCGGCGCCGGAGCCCCGCGGTGTCCGCCGCACAGCAGAGGCCGGGCTCGCTCTCACCTGCGCCTGGATGTAGAGGGAGACGCAGTCGTGCGAGAGCCGGTACCTGCGCAGCAGCTTCAGGCATTTCACCAGATGCTCCTCCCCCGCTGACAGCTCCTCAGTGTCGATGTGGTTCACCCCGAGGTTGAACTCAATAACCGCCAGCCTCACCGCCCGCTGGGCAATGGGCACCTCGGCCTCTACCACTTCGGTTGGCAGTGCCAGGGTGTGGTCTTCAGCACCCAAATCGTCGTCGGCCTCAGGCCGCTCATCCTCATCCTCAGGCGCGGGGCCGAGTAGCGCCTTTACTTCTTCCAGCAGCGCTCGGGCGCTGTATTTGGACTTGTACGGTTCCTTCTCTGGGTTTTTATGCAACTCTACCCGTGAGAGGGCCAGCGCCGCCTCGAATTTCTCACAGACTTCTGCCCACGGAGCGTTAGCCATAGCGGCCTCTACTACCTAGGTTTCCTCAATGCGTGCAGTCTGGACTCCCGCCTTCCTTCTGCTTTGCGACACTTCACTTACGGCTCTCGGCATCCACTGCAGAACGGTAACCAATGAAATCCGCCGGGGGAACCGCAATATGCTCGGAAGCGGCCAATGGGAAGACGTAGTGGTCACCATAGCAAACCCTTGATACGAAAACACCACCCCCTGCAATGGTTCATTCATTTCTTGCTTGACACCTGTGAAGAAATATTTATAACAAACCATTTCAGAATATCGTTTACAAACATAGCTGGCTAACGTTACTCGTGTTAATCAATATAAGCTGAAAGGCAAAAACCTTTTAACTAGATAAAAATGTAGTGCTTTTTTTGTTTGTTTTTAGCAGTTTTTGGCTGGGACTGGGTTTGAACCCGCCACCTCCAGCATATGGGCCCGGCGCCCTACTCCTTTCAAATGTAGTTTTAAAAAAGGGCTCTGGAAGGTAGCAGGTATCCGTTTATTAATACGTAACCTCTTGACAAATATCTTCACCTCAATCATGAAATAGATTGCAGGAATGTGCACAACTGCCCAAGGTAACAAGAGTTAAAATATCACAGGTGACAACCATCTCATATATATTTTATTTTAATTACATTTTTTTTCTTTTTTTTGAGACATAGTTTCACTTTGTCGCCCTCGGTAGAGTGGCGTAGTGTAATAGCTCATAGAAACCGCAAACTCTTGGGTTTAAGTGATTCTCTTGTCTCAGCTTCCCAAGTAGCTGCCACTACAAGTGCCAGCCAAGGCCAGGCTATTTTTTTTTTTTTAAGAGACAGAGTCTCACTTTATTGCCCTTAGTAGAGTACTGTGGAGTCACAGCTCACAGCAACTTCCAACTCCTGGGCTTAGGCGATTCTCCTGCCTCAGCCTCCCGAGTAGCTGAGACTACAGGCGCCTGGCTATTTTTTGCTGCAGTTTGGCCAGGGCCAGGTTTGAACCTGCCAACCTCGGTATATGGGGCTGGCCCCCTACTCACTGAGCCACAGGCACTGCCTATGACTGGCTATTTTTAGACATGGGGGTCTCACTCTTGCTCAGGCTGGTCTGGAACTCTCAGCTCAAGCAATCCACCTACCTGGGCCTCCCAGAGTATTAGAATTACAGGCGTGAGCCACTGCCTCCGGCCTACACACCTAACTTTCCTTGGTAAGTTATCAAGTCAAATGGGAAGGGGAGAGATAAGATTTTAATTATTACTAGCTGTGTAAAGTACTTTGACATATACAAGGGAGCACTGATTTTGAAAGCTCTCACAGACTTAAGGTTTGAATTTCAGACTGGCTTATTGACAACTTTTTTTTTTTTTTTTTGTAGAGACAAGAGTCTTAACTCTATTGCCCTCGGTAGAGTGCCATGGCGTTACACAGCTCACAGCAACCTCCAACTCCTGGGCTTAGGTGATTTTCTTGCCTCAGCCTCCCGTGTAGCTGGGACTGCAGGCTCCAGCCACAACGCCTGGATATTTTTTTGTTGCAGTTTGGCGGCCAGTTTGAACCCACCACCCTCCATATATGGGGCTGGTGCCCTACCCACTGAGCCACAGGCACTGCCGGCAAGTTAACTTTTCTAAGCTTCAGTTTTCTCATAGTAAAATGAAAATGATAATAATATCTCCACAGAATTATTCTGAGGAGCAAGTAAAATTAAATGTCTGTCCTTTAAGTGTTAATGTTCCTGAAAATTCCTTTCTAAACCTTACCCAAGATAGATCTTATCCACTTCCAGAGCTTTCATTTCAGTCCAGGTGGCTCTCTAGAGCTGCAGATTGAAATATCCAAAACTGGCTCGGTGCCTATAGCTCAACCGGCTAAGGCGCCAGCCACGTACACCTAAGGTGGCGGGTTCGAATCCCCAGCCTGGACCCACCAAACAACAATGACGGCTGCAACCATAAAATAGCCGGGCGTTGTGGCGGGCACCTGTGGTCCCAGCTACTTGGGAGGCGGAGGCAGGAGACTCGCTTGAGCCCAGGAGTTGGAGGTTGCTGTGAGCTGTAATGCCACCGCACTCTACCCAGGAGGACAGCTTGAGGCTCTGTCTCAAAAAAAAAGAAAGAAATATCCAAAACTGCTGGAATAATCACTTCTGAATGTTCCACTCACTCCCATACATCAGTATGTCCAAGTCAGAATTCGTTGTCTTACCATTCAATATGTTATGCCCCAACTCCATCTTGCTAAGACAGCAATTCTCAACCTGTGGGTCACAACCCACAGGAACTGTACTAAAGGTCTGTGGAATTAGAAAGGTTGAGAACCACTGTGCTAAGGGCCTTCTACACTCCCCTTTTAAAATAGGAAGCTCAGCTGAAAACATTTAGCAATAACTGCATAATCCTGTAAAATCCCAGCTCCCCTTGTAAGCACTCCCCTTACCAGGTGTTGGCTGTTGTCAAATTCAGCTTGTATTAAGGACTTCCCTTCCCCTACCAAAAGCTCCTTATAGAAGGTTTACCACCCCTGCCCGGCTGATCAGTAAAGCCCCCTTGCTTAATTTGGACTCAGTTGTGCTGGTGTTTCTCTATTCCACTCGCTTCGGGTATAACATATGGAGGCCCAGTGAAATTCGCCAGCAAGAGTGTCGGCCTCCCTGTGTTGGCCCCTGGAGAGGGGGGAGGTGCCCCCGGGACGTTCCAGAACCCCATAATTCCCTGAACTCCTCCTGAGGACTTTAGAGGGACTCCTTGCATCTCCTCACCCAAATTCAAGTCCTCCAACTTACTCTAGAGAGGTAAATGTCTGTGGTGTTTGTTTGAAATTGTTTTTTTGTTCAGAAGGGCCCTTAGGGACCTCTGAGGGGAGACCACTGGACAGGAAACTCAGGGGAGCGTGGCCTGTCAGCTTTGATCTTTTGGCCTCGGGGAAGCTTGGACACAGAGGCGCAGGTAGTCCATAAATCTGTAAGGCAGGAGCCTTGGGGAATCTGGTCTGTCTGGGACTTTCAGAGACCCATTTGTCAATAGTGCGACACATCCCTAGAAACACCAGGATGCTGGTGAGGAGCCTCAGCCTCAGATGTGCACTTTAGATTTGTATATATGTTTGTAGTAACCGTTACCTTTTATTTCGAGTCATTTTGTTTGTCCTAGTGATGTATCCATTTTTGTTTGTCAAATCGTGAGATCTCATCCTGCAGTCCTTCTCGCCTATCCCTGACCCTGAAAGGGTCAGCAGACCCCACTAGTCCTTGCCCCATCAGGGCTATTGTAGGAGGGCTATCCTCTCCCACAGTCTCCTCCATGGAATAAACTCCCTCAGCACCCCCACTGAAGCCTTCCCCCTACCCAGCTCTCACCCTGCCCCATCTTGCCTCCAATCTCACAAAACCTGAGTCTAAAGGAGAGAGAGGCCTAGGCACCTCCCAGGGAGGGAGAAGGAAGAGGCACCTGCCCCTTTCTTGTCTATGTGTCTATGACCCTTTTTCAACAGTGTTCAAACTAAAGCTAGAAAAGCCACCTTGGCCAGTTTTGGTGATGCTAGGGAGAAGGAGCAAAGGGATTTAACAGAGTTTTTCCCATGGAACAGCCAGGTTGGGACCCCAGAACCTTAGCAAGATCTCAACAGCGGTTCTCAACCTGTGGGTTGCAACCCCTTTGGGGGTTGAATGACCCTTTCACAGGTGTCAGCTAAGACCATCCTGCATATCAGATATTAACATGATTTATAACAGTAGCAAAATTATAGTTATGAAATAGCAATGAAAATCATTTTATGGTTGGGGGTCACCACAACATGAGGAACTGTATTAAAGGTTGCAGCATTAGGAAGGTTGAGAACCACTGCTCTAGAAGCTTTTTACCGGTCTCTTTTAAGCCTACAAGCAGCAGCTGCCCAAAAACCTGTAAATTTATCAAAAACAACTGAGGTGGTCCAGGGCCCAGAGGAGTCACCCAGGGCATATTGGAGCAACTCAGAGTCCTTCCGAATCTATACCCCATTTGACCCCTTAGCCGCAGAAAATGCCAGGGCAGTAAACAGCCTTTGTCCCTCAGTCAGCCCCAGACATCAGGAAGAAATTACAGAAGCTGGAGGGATTTGTTGGGATGAATATTTCCTAGCTGCTAGAAATTGCCCCAAGTTTATTATGATAACAGATGTTGAAAAGCAAAAGCACAAAACTGAGGTAGAGAAAACCGCACGCAAACAAGCTACGATGATTGTGGCAGCACTGCGAGCAGTACAAGGAACTAAGTTGGAGTCAGAAATAGGAGAAAACCAGCAACTCCCTTGACCAAGCTGATTGAAGCTAGAAACAGACCAATGTGCGTATTGCAAAAAGAGAGGCCATTGGAGAAGTGAATGCCCAGAGCTTGGTGCCAACAGTAAGCCCATACGGAAGAACTTGGCAGTGACCCGGATTGAAGGGGCAAGGGCTCTCTTCCTTTAGGCCCCTGAGAGCCCACAGTGCAAGCCAAAGTAGGGGCCGCTAAATTAAATTCCTGGTGGACATGGGGGAGAGGTGGAGTGGTCTGTTTTACAGGAGCCGATGGGAGCTTTATCTGATAAGATCCCCATCCAAGGAGCCACTGGGACCAACCAGGTGTGTCCAATCACTTGACATCGAACACAGGTGACCCATATGTTCCTGGTAATCCCAGACTGCCCTAACCCTCTCATGGGCAGAGACCTACTCCGGAAGCTCTGGGCCACTATTTCATTCTCCCCAGAGGGAAGTGGCATAGTATTAGACCCAGGCCCCAACGCCTGAGTCCCCTGTCTACCAGTTACATTTGTCTTGTCCACTCCTTTATTGGAAGAGTACCTCCTACTAAATACGGATGGAAACGAGGCCCAAGCAGAAACCACCGCCCCCACACTATTAGCCCAGCTACAAGCAGATTTTCCTTGAGTCTGGGTAGAATCCAACCTCCCTGCTCTGGCTGCCCATCATCCTACAACAAAACGGCAAGTCGGGGAATTCCTGGGGGAGTGGGCTACTGCTGTTTATGCATCCAAGGTTTTGCTGAAATTGCAAAGCCCTTATATGCTGCCGCTGCTGGTAATGGGCCCCTCCTGTGGACAGACCAAGAGGATTAGGTATTTAA